AAAGTGAGAAATCACCCCCCAGGGGGGATGGTCACGCCGCAATCCCTTCTCCTCCATTCTCCTCTCGGGATCTTGGGCACGCACGCACATGTGCCCGGTGTGAGTTTAAGCCACCGGTCCAGGACTCGAACTACAGTTGACTACATCAGAGTCCAGCAATATAGTCATTACACCAACTGCTGGTCCCTCTTCCGTTGTTTTTTGACAATAAGGTTTTTTATTGAAGTGTAAAAATTTAAGAAAAACAGCAACCACTCTCCAAGTGGGAAGAGACCTGGGAACTCACCCAGGGTGACCTGCTGTCAGAGGAGGGGGGTCCTTGGGCTACACCTGCCACCCTGTGGAGGAGGTTACAGGAGCTGGAAGGGACAAGCCCCAGGGCTGGAGGGATGGGACTGCCTCCACCAGAGAGCCAGGCTAGGCCTGTCATAGGCTGTTTGGGGACTGCTGACTGCTGGGGTCTGCTGGGCTTCACCCTCCGTGGGGGCATAGCCCTGGGGTGGGGAGATGCTCCAGCCCCTCTTCCAGGAGGTCTCAGCCTTCATGAGCTGTTCTCGAGACTTCGCCTGGGGCAGGAGCACTCAGGGACCAGCTGCGCTTGGCAGCAGACGCCAACCCATGCTGACTTCCTGTCTCCCGCCTTCCACCTCAGGTCTGGGCTCACGGAGCTCCCCTGGCAGGGCGCGGCCGAGGGGCAGCCTCACCCGCTGAGTTCCATGTGGCCTGCTGCCTTTGCTTTTGAACGTGGGGGTTCCTAAGTCCTCTCGGCTACATAAGAGAACATGGGGACAGTGGCCAGCACGGAGCCGGGGAGAAGGGCCCCTCAGATGGGCCGACTAGCCGTGGGGCTCACGGCGATTCCTCGGGGCAGGCAGAGGGGGAATCCCACATCCAGCCTGGGAAGGCGCAGGTGCGGCCCAGGTCGCAGGAGTGTCCTTCTCCGTGGTGGGTCACAGCAGCTCCCCAGGCTAACCTTCAGCGCTCCCCAGCCCAGTCCTCGCCTCCTATGCACCTACTTCTCTGGGAAGGCCCCCATGACCCTCATGCTCCCCACCTCTGCACCCTGCATCTGCCCAGTGGTCCCCTACCTGCAGCCCGTTGTGCCTGAGCCAGAGTCCACGTCAGTGTCCACTGGTACTGGTTAGAAAATAGCGGGTCCCCAGCCCCCTCAACTTGGAGATCCATCTGCACACACAGGGGGTGGCGCCAGTCTAGGCAGGATCCATCCACACAGGAACGGGAGAGGGGCTGGTCTAGACCCTTTGGGGACTAGTGGCAGGTGGTGTGAGGACCAATCGGAAGGGCCTTGAGCAGCCTAGGGACCAGCCACAGTATAGGCACCCCCACCCCAAGGCTGGAAAGACTGCCAGGGCCGGCCGTCCCCACAAAGAGGGGGCGCTGGTGAGCAGCTGTGACTGCCAGGGAGGGGCAGTGGGGCAGAACAAGCGCAGAGACCTCCCGGTGCCCCTCTCAGACCTCTGTTCTGTGAGTGTCCGCGATGGCCAGGCCTCCCTGAAAGCCAGGTAAGGTGACTTTGTTTTTGCAAGAGGGTACTTGCACTTATCAGAGAGAGATGGAAAGACAGAAAGTGAGGGTGTGTCCCCCATGGGGAGTGGTCATGCCACAGTCCTTTTTCTGATCCTCCCCCATCAGGGTTTTGGACCCACTCATGCACCCAGCATGTTTTTTAAGCCTCTAGGTCCAGGCCTTGAACCACACAGTTGTCCAGATGGGATCTGACTGTTTTAACCACTGTGTCACAGAGTTGGCCTAAGGGATCTTGAGCAATGTGGTTTTCTGTGACGGAATTGCAGGGGAAGGTGGTGGCAGAAACAGCAGCCCCCCCCCCATACTGTCATTCCCTCCAGTCAGACCCTCGTGCCACTATAGCTAGTGGATGGTGGTATCCCTGCCCCCTGCCTGCAGGTCAGTTCACCTGGGGTACTTCCTGCCCCCACCTGCAGGTCAGTTCACCTGGGGTGCTTCCTGTCCTGCAGGTCAGCTCACCTGGGGTGCTCCCTGCCCTCACCTGCAGGTCAGTTCACCTGGGGTGCTTCCTGTCCTGCAGGTCAGCTCACCTGGGGTGCTTTGGCACCTAGACTTTCCCATTGCTAGCCTATAGCTGCTCATGGAGAGATGGCCTGAGTCCTGGCTAGGCACCAGTGCCAGCTCTCTGCCCAGTCAGCATCTTCGGCATCCTCGGATGGGCCCGAGTCACCTCGCCTAGGAGTCTGTGGGCAATCACATTTGTCCCTGCCTCGTCTTCCTCGGCACCCACCCCTTGGGCTGAGTGAGCCCTGGTCCAGTGTCACACTGCCTGGCTGCCTGCTCTTCACAGCTTTCTGGTGTGGCTGGAGGTGGGAAAAGCTTTCCAGGCCCCTCATCCTCGGGGAGCAGCAGGGGACCAGAAGTGAGAGGCCTGAGCGCAGTGGAGGCACCAAGCGCCAGGCCAGGAGGGCGAGGGCAGGAAGTACGCTATTTACTGTGGCTCAGGCAGGAGTGGGGCGCACTCCGTGAGGGCCTCAGAGGCACGTAACTCACACAGGGCAGGGACTCAGCCAGGCGTCCTGGACACTGTCCACAGGGCCTTATTGCTAACTTCTCTTTCTGGCCTCTGTTGGGAGGTGCTGAAACCCTGGGGGAGGAAAGCAGGTAGGAAAGCCAGGCAGGAAGAGGCCCTGCCCAGTGCTCCCAGGCCTCTGGCTGCAAGGCCAGTACCCACCCAGGGAGCAGGCCTCTCCCCTGCCCTGCCCAGCTCGGCCCAGTGGGCAGCACCCTATCACGAGTCCTAAGCTAGGCTGCCGTTCACTTCTGGGAGCTAATTCCTCCTGCCGGGGCAGGCAGAGACTATCCAGTTACCCAGAGACTCCTGAGAAACTCCGGGAGTGGTTGCCAAGGGAATATTAAGTGTCGTGCAGGCACCTGGCCCGCGTCACCTGGACCTCCCTTGCCTGGACTCTGGCCAGCTTCTCCAGGGCAGAACCCTTCTTCACGCAGCCTGAGGGAGGAGCTAGGAGTGCAG